TATATATATATTATCAGTCACACTCATCTCCCTCACATGTACACACATACAGAGTGGTGGGTACAGTTCTGCTAATCCATTAAGAGCAGAACTACCTTCCCGTTTAGCGGATTAGCATTTTCGCTAACTTTGAAAACTTTTAGGGACATTTCCTGATGCATGCTCAATAATCCAGGTAGAAAAATCTAAAAAAGTTAAATCTGGTCCTCTGGACATTCAAAAAAAACAAAAAAAAAAGCAAAACAACAAAAAAATGTAGAAACGTTTCGTCTCTCATCCGAGAGACTTTCTCAGTCTGAGGTGCTGTGATCCACTCTGAGAAGGTGCTATTTAAGAGACTGAGCTGAATACAGCACCTCAGACTGAGGAAGTCTTTTAGATTTTAGGGACATTAGCTTCCGCTAAAATTAAATCCAGGAAGTTTAAGTCCGCTCCCCCCCCCCCAAGACTATTTTCCGCACTAAAAGCGTACAGGAGAATGATGTTCTATATGGGATTGAGCTATGCTATGCAAGGCTAGGTAAAGCCAAGTGCCACCTGGTGATGTCACCAACCTCGCAGTACTTTTCCCCCTCATATCTACCACAAACAGTCTCTGTCTCATGGTATCAATTTACAGCCAATAACAGAGACTTAATAATATAATTATTATTTATTTATTGTTATTATTATTATTATTATTATTGTATTGTTGTTATTATTATTTTGTTGTTTTTATTATTGGTATTAATTTATTTTAGTTAATAATAATTGTCAAACCAAACCAGAACAAGAAAATAACATGAAAAACCCATTTTCACGCTCGGAAGCATTGCACACATAATTCCTACCCAGCATGCTTTGCAATGCTCTCAATATTTCTGGGATGTGACTCTCACTCGTTACTTTAATACAAGAAGATTTTCCTGAGAATATTGATGATGACGCACAGCAACTTTGTAGTTAATTTATAAAAGTAGTTAAAGTGAGTTAATTATAGTAAATGACACGAGGGAGACGTCCAACACACATTGAATGCATCACTCCGATTCAACACAGCAGAGTTCTGCCCGGCCTCTTTGGTTCAGATGGACCGCATTAATTTCTGAAAGCTCACCTCTGAACAAGACATGGACACTTTAGCTGTGATTTATGAACCGTTTTGAGCTGTGTTCACTTACAACATTGTCACCTTACAGACAATCTTACCGTGTCGGCAACAGCAGTGGATGATGAGAGTTTGCGCTTTAGCATTAGCTTCTGATATTTTTTTTATCTGTTCATTTTGGTTCAGTACCAGATTTTTACATCTTTTTCTTTGGTGTTTTCCTGTTTATAGTTTCTTCCATCCAGTCCACTTTGTTGGTAATAAAAATAGTGGCTATTGATTTGTTCTCCCCTTATAGGAAGCAATGGTCCTCAGAAGTTCTGTGTTGAGAAAGTGGGAAAAGAGAACTGGCTTCCCAGAAGTCACACATGGTGAGTTCATGCAGACCACAGTAAATCGGAGAAATAACTGCAGACGTACTGTTTATTAAACTGCTAAAGTTTAGCATTTAGGAGCAACGTATCTGAGACCATTAATGCTGTAAATTTAAAGCATTACCAATTTATTTCCCACGTTCATAATCTGTACTTTATGAAATGTGTCCTGGAGGAGTTTTAGTCTAACATCTAGCTGAAATATATTTATTTTGATGTTCCCAGCTTTAACAGATTGGACTTGCCGCCCTACAAGAGCTACGAACAACTGAAGGAGAAGCTGATGTTTGCCATTGAGGAGACGGAAGGGTTCGGGCAGGAGTGAACGAGACACAAGTTAAAGAACTGTGGGACACTGAAAGAGCGAAACCATTCATGTTCAAATCAGGGAGCCTCTTTGTTAACAGGCAGGCGCTTGGGGAGGTTTGTGCTCGTGCACGCACCTGTAAGGTGCTTGTATGGGAACGAGAGAAAGACTTGTCTGGATTCGAGTCTCCTCTCAGCTTACTGAGCAGGCCTCTTGCTGCCTGACAGGTATGTGGAATATTTTAAAATAGTTTTTAACTGAATTCTGAAAGCTGCTCCAGTCTCTGGGAGTGAGCACAAAATTATGCATGAGATCCTGAAATTTCACCTTTGATGAAATCTGACAAAACGGCAGTCCAATACGCGTGATCACGACGACGAGGCTTACGATCACAAGGAGCGCTGATTCAGCAGAAATTAAATGAAACGTCAAAGCAGCTTTAAGAAGGTGGGATTTTCTGTTTTAATATTTAAGTTGCACCAAAAAGGAAATTATGTCCTTAGAATCTGGCTCACACTTTAATCTTCATCTGTACTAATAAATAAAATAGAGCGGTTTATTTTTTTAAACAAATAAAACATTAACGTCTCTAAAATTACCGCTTCAATAACAGACAATCTTTGGTGCTTCAAAGGAGTTGGGGATACATGTCTGATTTGTTCTCTGGGCGCTTGCTAGTGTTTGAGCTGTGAATCGATTCATGATTGTGAAAAGTGTTGCGACCGCCATTTGTTTTTCGGGGTGGCGGAACATTTTTGGAACCTGGCCTTAGTTTTATAGGGTCGGAGTTTGCACTCTGTGACGTGTCGCGAGACGATATGGATCCAAGTGTTCTGGAAGATTCTCAAGGGTCTTAAAAACAGCTTTAATGACGTTTTACAACTTACTGCACAGAATAACAAGATCCTAAAGAAATGCTTTATGAATATTAATGATTTCAAACTGTTGAATCAAGAAGAAGAAATAAAAAAGACAAACCAAATTCAGTTTTAAGTAATTTTCACTGCAAATTTTACAAACGCTAAAGAATTTTTATTTTGACTTCCCATAAATACGTAGCTTTAAATCCGAGTGATGCTTTCTTGCCTTTTTATTAACATTTTCATGTTCCACAACATATCTTTAAAAAAAGGGTAAAAGAAATTATCACATTTTAGCGATTTTAAACAAAAGTTACCAAACAGTATTGAAAAAACTTCAACTTCCTTTTATTTTATTTTTTGCACCTAAAACTTTTTCTTTCTTTCTTTGCAACAATCGTTTGCTGTTGGTTGCATTTTTAGATGGTTTGAAATAGTTTTAAACTGTAAAATATACTAGTTTTTTTATTTTATGTAGTCAAGATTTAAGTTTAGATCAAATCAGTTTCATCTCTTGTTGATTGATCCCAGGTTTTGACCAATTAATGCTTTGATTACTGACGTGGAGCTCTTCTCTCAGCGACGGTGTGTTTAAAACGTCTTTAAGTGCTTGTGGTTCAGTCTGATGAATATTAAAGATCTGATGAGCAGCATCAGATCTGAGGATGATTAATAAAACAAAACTAGTAGTATCCTGTTTGAATGATGTAATTTCACACTGGAGCCGCAGGTGTGTTAACAGGTAGGAATATTCTGATGTCCACTCCCCACCACCACCCCCTCCCACGTACAGAGCCGTGAAAACGCATTCCCCCTTTAAAAGATTTCTTCTTTGATTCTATTTAACCCTTGTATTATGTTGAGAAAAAAATACGTTTATTATGTTGCGGGTCATTTTGACCCGCATTGTGTAAATCCACTCAAAACAGTCATAAAATGAAGTTAAACCAATAAGAACTTTATTTTAGATTATACAAATATTTAGAAGAGATGAGAAGTAGAGATATACACTTCCAACACTATATTAAAGAACTCCTGATTTCAATTTTTCCCTCTTCACGAACCCTTTTTTTTTTTGCATTTAACTTGCCGCATTTTCTCGGGTTTTTGACAGTCAACATTTTCAGCGTTCCCCACATGATGGACAGAATGTGACTATGTGCTTTTTGCAGATGTATTTCTTGCATCTCACACAAGAGGTAGTTGTTTTACTGTCATCTCGAGAGGGACAGACTTGGCATCTTTTGCGTTTCTTTGTACCTGTATCCAAAGGATCCATTGTGGGTTGGTCAGATGCCCTGCCCTGGACCTTTGCGATGACAGCAGCAGCTGCTGGGGATCTAGCTGGCCTGACCCGGTTCTGGATCTTTGGAGTGACGAGTGCTTTGCCTAGTTCTTCCAGGAAAAGTCGACGTCGGTACAGTTTGCTGGCATTCCACTGCTGGTTGATCTCAATCCACAGCACATAGGCATTGTAAGCAGACACATCCAAAATGTTGTAGAAAACCACCAAAGGCCAACGGGCAGTCTTGCGCTGACAACTATATGTTGCTGTGACTTTGTCAAGATTGTCAACTCCCCCTTTTGTGGAGTTGTAATCCAGAATCATTTGCGGTTTCATGTCCTCTCGTGTGCTCAGAGATGCGTCTTTGTGCATTGTGCTCATCACAAGAACATTCTTGTTTCTTTTTGGGCAGTAAGAAACAAGTGTTGTTTTCTCTGTGAAAGCAAATTTTGAGGAATGCAGAGGTCTTCCTTGCATCTTCAGAATCTCACTGGGAAGTTCTGGCTTATTTTTTCTGACTGTTCCCAACATAGTCAGCTTTCTCTTCTGAAGTTCATCTCCAAGACGGTAGGATGTAAAGAAGTTGTCACATGTAATGTTATGACCTTGCAGCCCTTCAGTCATCTCCAAAACCACACGCATTCCCTGATTCTTCTCAGGTCTTCCTCCAGGTGGCTTTCCAGTATATACTTGCAGGTTCCAAACATAACTGGATTTTGCATCACAGGCTGCCCACATTTTGATGCCATATTTCGCAGGCTTGTTTGGCATATACTGTCGGAATGGACAGCGTCCTCTGAATGGAACGAGGCGCTCATCGACAGTAACATGGGGGCCAGGATTATACAATAAAGGCAGGATTTCGACCCATTTATTCCAGACATCTCTGATTGCTGCAAGTTTGTCTCTCTCACGTCGATCAGCTCTGGTGTCACGGTTGTCAAATCGGATCACACGAGAGATCATGTGAAATGTCTCCAAAGACATTGTTGCTCGGAAGATTGGCCTTCCATTCTCTTCATTCCATAAACTTGCAGTTGCTTCACCCTTTGACCTGTATACGCCAGCTAACACCAGGATTCCAATGTAAGCATGCAAGTCAGTCGGATCCAGTGGCTTCCATTTCTCTTGAAAGACACGCTTCCCCTCCAAGTTGGTCATGTTGAGGATTATCTTCTCTATGGGTGGGGATATGAAGAGCTGAAATGCTGATTCAATATCATCAACTCTTGTGACAGCAAATCTTGTAGGACCAGGAATCATTTTGATGACATTACAAGATGACAATCTACCTTGGCTTTGGTGTGGTGATGTTGACCATTTTATTTTACCATCTTTAGATGTCCATGTCCCCTCTGTGGATGACGCTTGTTGCATTTCTTGGTTTTCATCTGAAGAAGGGACACCTGCAGACTCGTCCTCTGAATCCTCCTCATCATGGGAAAATTGAAAATCTGGATCATCAATGGCATTGTCCTCTGGCTCTGAAGGATCCTCTGTCTCTGAAACCTCTTCCTCTACATCACTATCCCAGTTCATAAGCTGCGAAAAAGCTTCTTCAGCTGTAAATCGTCTGGAGCTCATTTTTGGTGTTTCTCCAAGAACGGGCATGGAAACAGTGACAAGGACAGGGGAGAGAAAGTCCCTCTTCCACACACACCTGGTTCTGAATGTTTATTCAGAGGCAATCAAAATGAAGTACATCAAAGACTTTTTTTTTGGATTTTTAACAGCTACTCTGTGTGCGGGTCAAAATGACCCGCAACATCATCTTTGTATACAAACTGTGTGCAGACATTTAACAACACATCAAAGAGTCCAGATTTTACATAGAAGTTCATGACCCTAGAGGAGAAAAAGTCACAACATTTCATGGAAAAAAAGAAAGGATAACCTGCACTTTGATCAACACAAAAATTGAAACGGGTCAAATTGACCCTTAACATAACACAAGGGTTAAATCACACCTAAATGTTTCAGATCATCAAACAAATGTTGATGTCCACACGGCTGAGGAGAAGCGATGCTGCTGTTTCCGATCATGGATCTGCTGCAGAGCCCGAGTCCACTTGAGCTTGAAGTCAGGAACTGATGGCGGGACATTCTTCTAATCATTATCCATCATCTTTACCTGCTTCTGCCTTTTCAGGTCGCGGGGGTCACTGGTGCCCATGTCCAGCCAATTATTATTATTTTTATTATTGTAGAGAGCTGAATTCATGGCTCCACTAATTACGAGTCATCCAGAGCCTGAAGCAGCCTCCGACCATCACACTGTCTCCACCATGTTTGACTGTAGGCACGACGTTTTCTGAAATGCAGTAAGTTTTAACACCAGATGTGCCAGGAGGACACACGCTTTCCAAAAGGTTCCACTTCGGTCCTTGCAGATGTTTTTTGGTCATTGTGAGACGAGGCTGCGTCGTTTTTCCTCCGCTGTGGTTTTAGCCGTTTGTTTCTTGTTGAATCGTGAACCTGAACTGAGGCCTGCGGTGTTTTAGATGTTCGATGTTTAGATGAACCCGTCGTACCTGGGATACACCCAGGTGGAGCAGTGGGCAGCTATGTAAGCGCCTGGGGAGCAATTAGGGATTAGGTGTCCTGCTCAGAGACACCATGACATGTGGGATTGGCTGGGAATCGAACCTGGGACTTTCAGGTCCTGAGTCGGATGCCCTGCCTCTACCCCGTCTCTTTTGGGACCGCCTGGGAGAGTGACCGATGATCTCTTGAAGTCATTTTGTTCAGCTGCTGCTGGGAAGGTTCACCACTCTTCTGTGTTTTCTCCATTTGTGGGAAACTCCTCGATTCTACAGGTCTGACAGTAAATAACTTTCCAAAGTTATCAGTCGATTCCTAATCCAACAAATGGAGCGATGACTTACTGAAACGTTTAGGTGTGACGAAAGAAAAACAAAACAAATGTTGAACTTTTTCACGGCACTGTTCTCGTCGGCCTCATCTCCACCCTCACACATCAGGTGTCCATTTTAATACGGAAGGCCTGCAGAAACCATCGACCTCACGTAGCTTTAAAATGAAAACCCCGGCTCCGGTTGGACCCTGTCGCCCTTCTTGTGGGGAGAGAACCGGATCTAGACGAGTGTTTTTCTGAAGGAACAGCACCGGTGTGGGACAAACCATAGAAGCCGAGTAAAGAGTTGAGCCGAGAGACGTGACCTGAATGTATCGGTGAAGTCGCCTGTAGTTTTGCCTCAGATGGTCAACCTGATGCAGGACTTTGTTTTTTTTAACCTTCTTTTGAGTTCATCCCATATTAAAGTTGTAATTGAGCAAACATGTAAATACCACTAATCATTGCTCATTTCGAGTGTATTTTTTTAACATTTTCCAGAATCCTCCAAATCCAACTAAACCACCGTCACTCCTGTACATGAAAAACTTGTAAATGGTGTCGATAACAAATTTTCTTTTGTAAAAGAGGTTTAAATAAGAAGTTTATGGTAATGCTCTATTTTCTTTTCCTTCTATAACTGCTAATGTACATGACATGTGTAAAATAGAAATGATCACATTAATAAATGAAATTTAAAAAAAGAAATGTTGGCACAAAAGAAATATGTGCCAGTGTGTAATGCAGTGATTGTTTCTATTTAAATACTGAACAAGAAATTTTTAACAGATAAAAAGAACCATTTCTCTATAACGTCTGCTAAAATAAAAAATAAAAAAGCACAGTAGCCCCACACCATGAATAAACCTCTACCATGCTTTACTGAGCAAAATGCTTTAAGGATTTTATTTTGTTGCAAACTACATTGTCAGATCATATTTATTTATAAGGCATTATCTCATAAAGTTTTATTTTTAATTTTTAAACCTAATTAATTATAAACTGTGTTAAATAAATGAATACAGGTACACTTGTCAGATGTTTGCAAATTACTCAAAAACCAAGTTTTTGCTACATAAATTAGATAAAATGTAACATTTTAAGTTGAGGCTTTGCACAAAAACATGGAAATGGTTCTAATTATCTTGGCAAGATGGGTCCACGTGATGAAACCTTTCAGCCTTCTTGATCCTGCGTAGGGGGGTCATGGGGAGCTGGTGCTGGTCTGCAGCGGTCAGGAGGAAAAAGGCGGAGGACGCCCTGGACTGGACACAAAGACGCACCTACAGCCATTTTAGAATTTTTAAGCGAATCAAACATGCATGTTTTTGGACTGTGCAGAAGAAAAAAAAACATGTGCACAAGGAGAACATGCAAACGCCACACAGAAACGACTGTGCAGGGTTCTGATCCAGAGACGACCTTGTTGTGAGATGACCATTAAAAACACTGTTTGAGCTTTTTATGGCAAATAGTAAATTTCTTGGTACGCTCATTGAAATGATGCTTAATTTTTTGGCGATTCTGTTAAAACTGTCGAATGCACGTCTGCACGCCCAGAATGTAACGGCTGAACGAGGAGCTCAGAAGATCTTTGAAATCCATGTTAGAGAGTAAGACCAGCTCCAAGCAGCTTCACGTTCCTCTGATTACAGTTGGCAATATTAATTCAAAAATATAAGGTTCATGGGGCTGTAGCCAACCTCCCAGGACGTGGACGCAAGAAGAAATGCAACCCCAGGTTGATCAGATGAAGTGTTGTTGCTAGGAAAAGAGCTGAGGAAACCATCCACGCATTCAGGCTGAACACCAAGGCTTCTGATCGCACCATCTGTCCTATGTTGCATCATAATTACTTCCATGGAGGACGACCCGGGAAAGGGTCACTAAAAACAGACGGCTTTGCCAAAATGTCTGACGAGCCCAAAGTTTTCTGGAAGTGACGAGATGGAACTGGATCTTCTTGGTGAGTCCCATCAGCTGTGTTTCACTGATTAATGTGCAACGGTACCAACAAATCTATCCACGTCTGTATACAGCAGTTTTCTAGTAAAAATGAACAAGCCACATATAATAAATGGTGTTTTAATGTAAAACAAACACTTTCCCAGATTTTACCTTTTTTTTTTCCATTTAAAAATAAATAATTGAGTTTGTTATTGAGGTAAATCCAGGAAAAGTCTTTAAATTTGATGACTACAAACAAGACTGCTGTAAACTGTTTCTGTCTTTACTCTGGATCTGCAGTGCCTCACCATCATCATCCTCTCTCCCATGCTGCTGCTCCTCTTCTTCAATTTGCCCTTTAATGGTAGCGATGGCAGCCCGACATCCTTCATCAGTCCCCTCTTCCTCCTCTTCCTCGTCCTGCTGTTGGCCCTCCTCTGCATTGTCTCCAGCAGTCTGTGGCCGTTTTGATGTTTCATGCTCTTCTTCCTGCTCCTCAGCTGTCGGCTCTCCTGCCGCCTCGTCTCCCTCTTCCTCCCCTGCCCCTCCCTTTGCCTCCGTCCCGTTTCCTGCTGCGGGACATTTGTGATCTCTGTAGTAGCTCTGCCTGGTGAAGCCCTTGTTGCAGGTGGAGCACCTGAAGCGGTAGTTATCTGTGTGGGACTGCTGGTGCTCGAGCATGTGAGCCCTGCGGCTGAACGTCTTCTGACAGACCGAGCACTTGTACGGTTTGATGCCTGCAGCAGGGAAGAATTCATTTGGCAACACAAAATGTCTTTAACTGTCAACGTTACAGATACTGAGCATGACTTGCTTGATGCTCGTTTTGTTTTACACTCACCAGAATGTGACAAGATATGGGCTTTGAGTTTGTCTGGTCTGTTGAACTCTTTGGTACAGCCTACATGCGTCCTATTAAATAAAAATAATAATAATAATAAAGAAACAGGAAAATGTTGTATAAAAAGTAGAAAAGAACTTGAATAAGAAAACAAAAACGCTTGCACAGTAGTCCCTCGCTACTTTGCGGTTCGACTTTCGCCGTTTTTCAAATTAAGAGTGGACATGACACACAACTGGCTGATTGATGGATGAGCTGCACGAGCTGCATGGATTGTTTATTTAAAATACATTATTTAAAATGATTTAGCACCTGCTAAATCGTTAGGTGCAGGGAGAAGCTCTCTCCTGCAGCCTGTCATGATCTCCGCTCTGCCACGCCCACATTTCTCCTCCATGCTGCAGCAGAACAGTGAAGGGTTAACCCTTCACTGTTCTGCTGCGCTTCTCTACAATGCATGGATAGTTTATTTAATATTACAGTATTTACATTTAAATTGTTTATTTACATAGAAGGAGGGGGACTGGGAGTGAAACTGGTGATGAGTGTGATTGCAGCACGGCAGAGAGCAGAGATCCTGACATGCTGTGCTCTTAGAGCATTTAGAGTTTAGAGACATTGTTTAGAATATTGCAAAACTGTGAGCAGGGTTTATAAACTACTACTCATTTGCTACAGTATTTATGTACATAATTTCATTCCGTGGTAATGACAATAAAGTGTACTTGAACTTGTATTACTGTGACTTATCGCGGGGGGTGTGGTTCCCTACACCCTGCGATAAACGAGGGACTACTGTACATTAAAATGCAAAGAACAGAGGGATGAGTTCACATTAATCATTTCTTTCCCTCTAGACTCACTTGAAGGGACACTTGTATTTCTTAAATGGTTCGTGGATGAGCATGTGTCGCTTCACTTTGTCTTTTCTGTTGAATGTTGCCTCACAGAGGGAACACTTGAATGGTTTTTCACCTACGAACAGAAACGACATTTCATCTTTTACTTTAATCCAAGTGGTTAAGTGTACCGTCAACACGTCGATCTGGATTAAACTATGAAACCGGCCCAACGCTCATTTTTCAAGTGGTTTGAGCTGAACGTGGGAAAGTCGAGGTTTTCAGACCTGAGTGAATCCGAGTGTGCAGTTTGAGGTAGTGCTCTGTTTTAAAGGCCTTCTTGCAGATCTGACACTTGAACCTTCCTCCAACGCCGTGAGTGGGAAGGTGACGCCTGAAGTATCTCTCACACGGAAAAACCTGCCAGAAAAAGAGATCTCGCTCAAATATCTAAGCACGGACACTTCAATAACTTATCAATGGCAAATTGTGCATGCAGCTTTACTTGTTATGGTCTAATGTCTGGTATTTATTGCACCTTCTGACAGTGTGGGCAGGGATAGCTGTGTGAGGCCGTCAGTAGATGATGTTCCAGAGCTTCCTGGGTTGAATATCTGCTCTGACATTTCACACACCTGAAGGAGAACAAAACAAACATGTCTACAGAAAAAGATTAAACAATCTCACTTAAGATTCTTTTGCATTTTGTATTTCAAACTCTCAATCTGGAAAGCAACTAGTAAATCCAGCTGTTAAATAAATAAAATTATGTGTTTTATCGCTGACTTTCTTTATGCCTAACATGATAAAACAGTCTAAGCATAATGTCCTTCTGGCTGATCCAATCTAATGCCTACTATTAACTAGAGAAATTGCATTTCCTGCAAAAAGTAGTGTGAATGCTTATTACAGAAGAACATGCTGAAAAACAGCTGAAATTAGCTACAATGGAAGAACAAGCCTAAATTAGCAGAAGAACGCAGAAAGAACATTTGCTGAACTATGTTTAAATAAGCAGAAATGAGCACAAAAATAAGGAAATCAGCTTAAAAAAGCTAAAATTAGCAACAACAAAAAACATCAAAAAAGTAGCTGAAAAGGCAAAAAAAAAAAAAGCTTAACCCACAAGAAGGAAGTGGCAAGAGCTGAAATGAGCTAAAAATGTGGAATTAGCTGAAAAGACTAAAATGTGCAAAAAAAAAACCTGCTAAATATTTGCTGAAATAGCTGAAAAAGCTGAAAGGAGCATAACGAGCTGAAATTAGCAGAAAGAAGTTAATTGGGCTGAAAGTAACAGGAATTACCAAGAAAAACTTGAATTTATCTCAAAACAAATTAAATTAGCTTAAAAAAATTCTTAAAAGGTAGAACAAGCTTAAATTAGCATAAGAAAGTAGAAAGGACACGTAGGCTGAAATAAGCAGAAATTTGCACAAAAAGTAGAAATTGTCTTAAAATAAATCTGAAATTAAAAAACCAGCTGAAAGGTAGCTTAAAAAGCGGAAAGAAGTTGAAATTATAAGAAAGTAGAGAGAGCACATTTTGCTGCATTAGACTGAAAAAAGTTTAAACCAGTGCAAAAAATGTGGAATTAGCTTAACAGCTATATAGTAGCTGAAATTGTAGGAAAAGCTGAAACTTGCAGAAATAAGCTGAAAGGAGCATAACAACCTGGAAATAGCAGAAACAAGTTAGAAGAAACTCAGAAATGTTGCAGTTAGTAGAAATAATCTAAAAGGAGCACAAAAGAAAAAAGTTCAACTTGCACAAAGAAGCTGAACCAGAACAAAATGAGAAAGGATCAGTAAAAAGTTGGAAACGGATCAAAAGATCTGAAGGATGTAAAATGAGCTCAATTCATTTCATATGAGAAAAAAAAATGTCAGAAAAGGTTAAATATTTCAAAAAGCTAAAGTTGCACCAACGTTTTGTTTTATGATTTGATGAAATAGCTTGAACCGGACAAGAATTGCGCTGAAAAACCGGAAGAAAAACGGATCTCACCAGCGTGAAGGCGTCATAAACATTCACACAACAAATAACAAACTCTTACTGAATCGATCCCACTTGGTAAAATGTGACCAGAGCAGTTTTTGTCTGGGCTGACCTGTAGACGACTGTCTCCTTACGCATGCTCTGCTGTGGGCAGAAGCAGTGGGAGTACTGGTGCACCCCCAGTTCAAACAGGGAGGGGAACACTTTGCTGCACAGGTGGCAGCGGTACGTCAGCTGCTCCTGGTGCGTTCGAATGTGTTCGAGGAACTGATCGAGCTTCTGGAAGGTCTGGGAGCAGGACTTTACCACACACTTATAAACCTGCAGAAAAGAAGTTTGGAATTAGAGCTGAGGTTCTGGACGATGAGTGGGATTTTAAAAATAACGTTAGTTTGACGTGTTCTTAAAGGTGTATTTCTCATCTCCTGCTTTCTGTTTAATCGAACCTGAATGAGTGACATGACTGGCACCCTTCCCTGCGCTCACCTGCTCTCCTTTGTGCTGGGTCAGGTGGGACTTGAGCTGGAAGTACGTCTTGAACTTGTTGGCGCAAAACTGGCACTGATAGGAGCTGTCTACCACCATGAGCTGCTGGGTCTGAGTGTGGCTCTGCTGGTTCTGGTTGGACAGCGCCTGCATTTGGACTCGAGGATGACCGCTCTGCACATCGTCCCCGTGGTTGACCGCTGAATCAGCCTGAGCCTCGCTCCCACTGTCCTCCAGCTCCTCTGGTGGCTCTGTGGTCAGACATGACGTTTACTGGGAGAGCCGTTCATTTGACGCTGAGTCAGCAGCTTTTACACTCTTTTCAGATTTTCTGTAAGTTTACTGATACTTCTGGATACTCGGTGCCGTTTTAGCCGTTCGTTCATCAAAACGATCGGCTCAGTCAGGAGACGGGTGCAATGACTTGTTTATTCTAACTTTTAAACATTTCAAAGTATTAAACTTTATTCACAAATATTTTTCATACAACAATACATTGAGATCTATTTCTTTCTTCTTCTTTTGGCTGCTCCCTTCTTCAGGGGTCACCACAGCGAACTAAGTTGCACATAGACTTGGCGATTATTTTTACACCGGATGCTCTTCCTGATGCAACCACAGACCACCGAGCTACCACAGCCCTCTGTGTGGAGCAGAGAGCTGCCAGCTAGGGCACCTGGGGAGCAGATGGGGGGGTTAAGGCCTTGCTCAAGGGCCCAGAGTGGGGCAAATGAGGGTGGAGGCAGGTGTGGATGCTTTACCAATCCCACCCACATTTTGATGTTGTCAGTACCGGGAATTGAACCAGCGACCTTCCGATCACAGGCCCAACGTCTCTAACTTCTACACCGCCACTCCCTACATTGAGATCTCTTTAATTTCTTTTAAAACTTGGTTTTTTGAATTTGTCTTCAGCACGATTGCTTTTTTTTGTATTCTTATGCTATTTTTAGTTGTTATCTACCTTTTAGCTACCGTTATGCTACTTTTGGTTTTAGCTATTTTTGTGCTACTTTTAAGATTTAGGTAGCCTTTTGCTATGTTTAGCTTTTAGCTACTTTTGTATTACATTGAGCTTTCAGCCACTGTTGTGTTGCTTTTAGCTAGCGTTTTGCAACTTTTAGCTTTCAGCTAGCCTTTTTATTATTTTTAGCTTTAATAAAGCTACCCATTTGCTTTTAGCTAGTGTTTTCTACTTGAGCTCTTAGCTAGCCTTTTACTATATTTAGCTTCTGGATATGGCTTAGATTTGAGCTAACATTTTACTAGTTTTAAACTACCGGTAGATTTTTGCTATATTTTGATAAGACTTTAGTTAGTTGTAAATTTTGGCTATGGTTGATAGTTTTGAGTGGTTTTACTCTATCTTTTTAGCTTTTAGCTAGTCTTTTGCTGTTTATATTTTAACAGCTTCTCTGGTCGTTTGTCATTCAGCGTTTGCGCTAAACGTTTGCAGAAAATGCAGATTATTCTCTAAAGAAGTTTGACTTTGCGAAGAGGTTAATTAAATGTGACAGGAGATGTAAAAAATAAATAAATCCGAACTGCTGTTTCCTGCTAAGAATAAGCTAAAAGATCTCAGTGCGATCACTGGAGTTTTCCTCGCCTGTTTGTGCTGACTCCTGTTCTGCTTGTGTTTGCTGACTGAGGTGCCGCTGCGAGCCGTCCTCGTCCCTTTCGGCTCGTTTCTGCTGCTCCTCGACTCGTTTCTCTTCACGTGTCGACACCGGTACCACCTTCACTGCGATGGGCAGTCGGGACACGGTGCTGGCCACGCTCATAGGCCACACCTGTGAACACAAAGCCAACAGAATAATCACTTGTTGCTGATAGATTCTGTTCAAAGTCTAACCAGAAACTGTAAAAGTACCTTGTGGGTCTGCATGTGTTTCTTCACGTTGGACTTCTGAGCGAAGGCTCGTCCACAGACAATACACTGAAACGGTTTCTCTCCCGTGTGACTGCGAGGGGGAAAACATTGTAGGTAACATCCCAACAGACAGACTTCTGTTTAAATGGGTACAGTCTACGTGCTGGAAAATAACTCGCCTCCTAATGTGCTGCTGAAGATCAAAGTTTTTTGAAAAGATCTTGTCACAGAAATTGCACTTCAGCTTCGGGCCTTTCCCCTTCAGGTGCTCTGTGAAGAAGTGAAAACTCAGTGAATGAGTAATTATTCTGTAATGATTATCTTTAATTCTCTGAATTTAACAAAGGTGGGCTGAAGCACTTGTGCATACTTTATTTTTTCAATTCTTTATGCGGGAGAAGGAGTCTGGATTTTGCTGCAATATGTACACACAAACATGAGTTGGACAGTATTTTTCTGTGTATATTGCATAGACAAAAAAGGACAAAGGCATATTTTTCTGTCAGCGTGCTCATGTTTTGAACCAAAAGTAGGCGGTCACATAATTTGGGCTCTCTGGATCTAAACGGCTCTTTATTACTAGAAGCAGCAAATACATGTTCATAATACAATTTATTTCCCTCTCACCTGCGGCGCCATTTGTGCTTTTTTTGTTGCTCCTCGGTTGTTTGGGAATGATGACCTTCTCGAAGTCGCTCAGCTCCGTCATGTTGCTGCTGGAGTTGCAGGTCTTTGCTTTGGCGCTCTGCTTCCCAGGACTGTAGACTGGAGAGCTGCTGAACGACTGGCTCTCCACACACGGAGCGGGCGCCTGAGGGAGCAAAACGAAAACTGGATGATGAGTGTGGACTACGTTTTTACTACTACAATGATAAATCCAGAGGATTAGTGGTGATCACTTGAACTGGATGATGGAACGCCTGCAGCCCTAAGGCGGTGTGGATCTCTGCAGCGCCACCACCAGCCCCTGCCATGTGGGGCATCGCGCTGTAAACCTGTACCACTGAGTTGCTGTGGCTCACGGGGACCTGGGAGGAGAGCGGCTGCTGGGTGGGCTGCCCAGCTGGCAGGTGGGTTGGAGTCTGGCTGGAGGGAAGAGGGTGGGAGGGCTGCGGCTGATGCTGCTGTTGATGATGATGGTGGTGGTGGTGATGGTGCTGAAGATAAGACACTCCAGCTGTGTGCATGCTCAGATTACTCTGCAACAAAGGCAAGTATTGCAATGAGTTGATTTAAAAAAGAAGGACTGAAAAACTTTTGCTCTCTGACATCATCTTCTGTGGGATCACCTGTACAGGTGCCTGCATGGTGGCCATCGGCTGGTCGATGGAGGTGAAGGCTGAGATGGCCGACATGAGAACGTCGTCGCTGACCAGCACATTGCCTTGGACCAGAGTGTGTGTCAGAGGGGACGGAGGTACTGCAATGTAGGTGGATACCTGAAGTACAAGTACAGAGCGGTACGCAAACGTGAGCTGCATTTAAACAGGGATACTTTCAATCTGACAAATACTTTTTACTGAGTTACTGCTGACTCGACGTTAACACGATCGTTTTCCTGCTCGTTTGATTTTCAGTATATATATTTTTTTAAACAAATTACTTCTGCATACTTTGTGCTGTTTTAGCCATTCATGCAATAACAAGTTCAACTCCCATCAGGAGATGGGTGCCATGATGGTTGGTTGTGGCATTTTTTATTCTTTCCTGAATAATAAACTTTATTAACAATCAATTTACCATAGAAATACATGGAGCTCTCTTCTCCTCAAATACTTCAGCAAACTGTCTTCTTATGCTACTTTTAGCTTTTAACAAGTCCTTTGCTACTTTTATAAACTGTTATAATACTTTTTTATGAGCAAGCTTTAACTTTTAGCTTTTACATTATTGCTACTTTTAGCTACTGTTCTATTTTTTTAGCCACAGTTTACTACTTTTAGCCTTTCATTGGCCTTTTGCTACTGTTCTACTACTTTCTTTTAGCAGGGCTTTACTACTTTATTGTTTTAATTAGCCTGTTGCTACCTTTAGCTACTACATAGCTACTTTTAGCTAGCCTTTTGCTACTTTTACTACTATTCTACTTTTTTAGCTATATTTTTTGGCTTTTAGCAACTGCTTTGCTACTTTTAGCTAACCTTTTGTTTGTTTACCTCTAAGCTTGGCATTTGCTACTTTTAGCTTATAGCTAACCTTTTGTTACTTTTGGACAGTAATTGGCTAGTTTTAGCTTTTGGCTTTTTGGTAATATTTTATTTCTTTTAGCTTTTAGCTAGTGTTCTGCTTTAGCTTCAACAATTCAGTTTCAGCTTCTTCAACAAGTTCCAGCGGTCATTCTGCTTTCAGTACTTAAGCTACATTTCTGCAGGATTTTTTTTTTTTTAGTTTATATTAGGTTTTCTCTAATTACACCATTTTTAGCTTGAGATGTGTTTTCTTGACATTTAATCTGTTTTTGCATTCAAGTTTAAAACATTTTGCTGCAAGTGTAAATTTTTTTGGTAAAAAACTTAAAACATAACCAACCTATACAGTTGCCATTATGATAATCTGTCATTAATCATTCTGACCCTGCATGAACGAGTCTGTTTCTGTTCTCACTTGTCTGTTAGCAGGAGTTTGTGGTACAGAGTTGATGGGAGGGACTGGTGCGTAGGCGTTGGTGGAGGCCAGAGACACTGTGGACAGGGAGGGGGCTCCAGACTGACACTGCTCCCTCTTATGTGTCATGAAGGCTGGCAGAGAATTGAACTGTTTTTTACACTTTCCACACAGGAACACATCTTCATCATCTGCAGCAAAGACCAATAAAACAAGTTGAAGAAATCAGATAAATGAACGAAGGACATCGTTGCCTTTTGCTAAGTGATATTCCACTCTGTTACATTTTCATCATGCTAAAAGTAAAATGTTTTGGTCTGCAGAATGTGATGGTGTGGTTATAAAAAAACGAAACTTACAAGTAATCACAAGCAGCTTAAGGCATTCAAGGCTAAAGATGAACCAACGAAAGAAAATCTGCTCTTGAATTCCAAAATTTTAAGAAGAGAAATAACCAAGAAATCATCATTTAATAAAAATAAAACTGTCATGTCAATGAGATGGTGAGTTTTTGGTTGGGTTTTATTTTGTTTGGGGACAATAAGCTGCTTTTATTCTTTTTCCTTGCTGCAATAAAATAGGTTGGTAAATGCTGCTTTCGAACAATCAATAAGGAAAATATTGCCTTACCATAAACATGTGCTAACAGTATCCATATTTATAGCAACAAATAAGTGTCAACCATCCTATATTACTGTGTCTTTAGATATCATCTAAGAAATACAATTACATGCCAAAATTCATGCATGTTGGAAATTAAACCCATTTAAGTCAGTTATCAAATAAACTGATGTATCTATCAGATTTCACACAAAACATTGTGCATTTCCAAGATCCTCCTGACAAAATAATCAACATTCAATTCCTTATTTTCATGATATGAGAAAAAATCCAAGCAACTCTATAAAACAGCTATTGCATGATGTATTTGATTTTTCATACCCATTGACTGGATAGTGGGAGCTGCAGAGACACTTTGGTTGTTTGGGTCAGGAACTCCGGACTGGCCATCCAGCAGAGACTGAACTGCCAACACTGTCTGGTTGTCCATGCCTAAGAAGGATAATTACAATGCAATTAGCCAAATGATGAAGATAATCACTTCATCCTGCAGAGTCAATTAAATATCATTTTCAAAATATAAATTAGTAGGACGTATAGGTGTCCTAATAATAATAATAATAGGTTTTTGCACAGTCTGTTTGTTTAACATGATATTGTGTCCTAATAAATATGCTTCAAAGGTGCACACAACTTTTTTGGGTTAGATTTAGTTCAGTGACGCTATTAGTTCTGGATAAATACAAATATAATAATAACAACATTAGGAAATTAAAAATACACAAAGTCCAAGTCCCAGACAGTATAAACACTGGTAGTATTCATGCTTTTATTAAATATCTCGTTGTGTTGCTACTAAAATGCCTCCTGTGAATATGTATTTCATTTTGAGCAGCACAATAAAAAACAAACGCAATGAAAATGACTTGAATGATAAAATATTCCTGAGGTAATCGTTGTTTGTTTACACTTTACTCTTTCTTCCACAGGAAGGTTGGATTTTGTCACAGAATTAAAAGCCTATCCGTGCATTTTTTTTTATTATTTTTTGCATTTCTGAATGAGATAGAAAAAAGTTTTAGGCAATATCATTTAACGTGTAACAATGTTCATAATTATGCAGTTATTTAAAAAAATATTGCTACCTTCAAGTACTTCAAAAATTGCTTGCGCCATCTTGTAGCTCTGGTGCCTCCGATCGGCGTTCGATTAGCAAGGACTGCCACTTGATGAAAATCTTTCGTTTTAACTGAAGTCGAGCATTCACTTTGAGCCGTGTAATCTTCGAGAGAAATATGGTCTAATTTTTGTTTTATTATAAAGGACATATTATAAAATAATTGTATTTATGTTCAATATTAACCATACTTACGATAGCATCCAAAATTAAAGGAAAATTACGTAAACGGCTTTAGTTTGGACAGTTATTAAATGAAACAGCTATTAAGTGATAAAGGTATATTTTTTGGAAAATTTTAAGAAATCTTAGAGCAATAGTTAATAAGCTGAAAGGCAAAATAACTACATAAACATACATACATTGATAGTTCATACATGGAAAGTGTTATTTCCGAGGATCTTAAACGCGCCTTTCGATCGACGAATCTGTGCTCCGCAACGTGACCGACAGCAGTTTACACCAATCAGAGAGCGCCAATCGCTCCTTGCGGAAAGCGCACTTTTTCGACCAATGGCAATCGTGAGATTTTGACACGTGCAAGTTTCGCGGCAAAAAAGGTTTCGCGCGAAAACCGACCAACGCTTGTTTAGCTGCAGATCAGCTGAGACAATAACAACAATAACGGACCCGACATCGGGCTTCAGAGGACAGTTTCCCGAAAGATCTGCGGCCGCGGTGAGCAACTCGGACACCATAGGCCGCCGCTTTGAAGCGTGCGCGTGTACTTTGACCGTTTTGTTTCCCCCTTTTATTTCCAGTTTTCTCGGACTGCTTCCTGCCACACAGTCAGTGCCCCAACAAAACGAGGGGACTGAAGAACTGCGGCTAATCACTAAAGCTAACATGCTAATCTGCCCTATATTTTCATACTCAACTTTATCACTGTTTTTAGGTCGGGACTGGCGGGCGCTTTCATAAATATGTCCTCAAAGATGCTTCTGACCTACGGTGGCGCCTTTTGAGTTCTCTATATTTTACATCGATAGCTGGCATTGAAAAGCTGTTATAAAGTTTTTATGCAGCATATCAGCTAAACCCTGGCTCGGGTTTACGGATCAGATATATAGTTTTACGGTCGTAAACGTGTGTTTTGGTGGCTACACGGCTTGTTGATGAACTTTGTTGTCGCTCCATGAGCTAGCCTGTTAGCCGCGTTGGTAGCTCAGCTTGTTCAGGCCGCGGCCGCAGACAGGAGACACGAAAACAAAAGATTAGCTTGCTGCCGTATCGAGCTCACTTGTCTCCTGCATTTATTACCCTCTCTGCGTAAAACAAATATATATATATGTGTGTGTGTGTGATGCGACCCTTTTGTCTCTGATAGTATTTCCGCGGTTGATCCACTAGGCGTGGAGACAATTATGCAATTTAGCAATGATCTTTTATTTGCCACTCTTCCTGTTTGGCAGAACTTCCTGCCTTCCCGTTTCATGCCCGGTCTAAATTTGTTTTAACAAGTTCGGATTGTTATAAAATTTAAAATAAATAAATAAAAGCGTATGTGCGTTGAAAGACCCTTGAGGAAATGCTGTCAGTGAACTGCACACAAGCCTTGAGGCATTTTCACTTTGCTCCCACAAGTTCACGGAGTGCAGCAGATGCCTGCAGGTGCTGATCCTCTCACTTTACACCATCTCAGCCTGTGACCCCCCCTCAGTCAAGTCTAGGAGCACTTGGTGACTCAGTGCCATGTCAGAGACTTTGATAACGGGGCAGTCATCGGAGGGTTTGCTGGCAGACTTTGAGACGTTGCTGAACTCTGGGAGCATCAACTTGGGCGAGGACCACCAGATAGTGATCATCACCAGCCCCAGCAATGAGGGGCTCCACCCGGCTGCCGCCCCCACCAGCACAGGGGAAATCCTGCTGTTCGCCACGCCACAGGGCCCAGCCGATGTGGGGGGCCAGGACAAGAGGCGACCCTCTCTAGGAAGACCTCCGGTGAGGAGAGTGGGAGGAAGGATGTGAGAGAAAAGGAAAGAGCTATAAGGGAAGCGTTTGTGTCAGAGCGTAGCAGTTCACATGTTGCTGTAAGACATCCTGGTCCCTTTTCAGTCTCTTTCACTTTTCTCTCACCTTCTTAATACACAAATATGACATCAAGGTAGTAATAAGTAGTTAATACATGTGTTGTAACAACTTTCCTCCTTCATCCATGTGTTGGTGAACAGGTGAAGAGGAAGTTGGACCTGGACAGTGACCATCAGTATGTCAGCACCACCCGTCCACCCACAGGTCAAGCTCCACCTTCCACGCCAGCTCCTCCAAGAGGTACGCATCCGTACAAAATCCTCCGCAGAACTTCACCCGAGCTGTGTGTGAGCACAAAACCCACTCGCTTCAAAACAAACTGTCTTTCGTACGAGCAGTTCATGTTTTTATTAAAACGGGTTCCCACCAAATTCACTTTTGTTCGTGTGAATGAGCTGCGTTTCATGTATTCATACGTGTTTGTTTCCTCTCAGATTGACGTGATATAAGTAATACATTAATTTATGATGGGCGTTACATTTGTGGAACTACACTGTTATTGGCAAGTTTTGATAACTGAGAAACATGTGTACTGTATTTGTGTGACACATTTGGAGTAAGATGATAAAAATAAGAAACCGAGATGGCAAGACCAAGAAAGAATCCTCGCTCTGGTCACTTGGAAATTTAGAATAGTAGTACTTAGAAATATGTGTACCACTTTACAACAAGGCTCCCCTTACAGATGGCTGATAAATTATAGATATACATTATTAATTCCTCTATAAACACTTTATTACTCATTAATAACTGCTTATTATGCGTTAATTAAGGGTGACAGAGACAAAACTGACCAGTTTGTTGCCAAATCTGTTCACCTATATATTTCATCTGGAGTTGTTACATTAAAAATTTCAGACTAAGTTACTACCTTGTAAGCACAATAAGTATTTGTAAACCTATTTCTTTAGCATATAATATTGTACTTTATCACTGCATTATAAGTATCTACAACTAATATTATATCCTAAAACTATTAGGCTTACAAATACTTATTGTGCTTACATGGTAGTAACTTATCTGAACTGTTTATTATAACAACTCTAGATGAAATATATAGGTGAACAGATTTGGCAGCAAGCTGGTCAGTTTTGTATCCGTCGCCCTTAATTAACGCATAATAAGCAGTTGTTAATGATTTATAAAGTGTTTATAGAGGAATTCGTAATGCATCTATAAACTGTTAAGGGGAGCCTTATTTGTAAAGTGGCATTGAAATAAGTAAGTTTAGCAACAAAAACGTGTCATAAGAAGAAATTGTAGCTAAAATGTGGAGTTAAACTTTTGATTTTGATATAAAAAAAAAATTGGTGAGGTTCAGAACATTTCTGCCAGATAAGTTTTCTTCTGGACTCATTTTAACATTTTTATTTTCAGAACCACTATTATTTTTTTCTTTTTTTTTTGCATTCAACAAAAGTTACCTCAGGGCACTATACAAATAAAATGAAATTCATCCAAGTCATAAACCTTATTCATATTTATTCAGAACATATGGAAGTCAATGCATTCCTATTATAATACAATACATTCACAAGCAGGACTTTATGAAATGCTAATTAGCAAAATATCTATAAGGAAGTCAGCAGAGTGTGTCAAGTCTTCACTTGTTCTCAGTCCCCATCCTGAGCAGCCCATTGGCGACAGTGGAAAGGAACGACTCCTTTTGAACAGGAAGAACGTCCAGCAGAACTGGGTTTAGGATGAGCAGCCATATGTCTTATCTGCTGGAGTTTTACAGGACAGGACAGGAAATGGACACAAACACAGTCGAATTGGTCCAGATCTCGTTTCTATAGCGATAATGACAGCAGTAGTTACATGCATACACATGGAGAGTAGAGAGAATAAAGACAACAGCAGGGTGAGGAAGTTTGGTCAGATTGTCCTCCAGCAGTCTAAGCCTATAGCAGCATAACTAAGGGACAGCTCAGGAAACTCATGCCGACCCTAACTATAGGATTTATCAAAAAGTGAAGTCTTAATCCCAGTCTTAAAACTGGACAATGTGTCAGCCTCACTGACATAAACTGGAAGTTGGTTCCACAAGAGAGGAGCCTGACAACTGAAAGCTCTGCCCCCCACCCCATTCTTCTTTTGAAAACTCTAGGAACCACAAGTAAGCCTGCAGTCTGGGAATCAAATGCTTTGTTAGAAAGATATGGGATAATAAGACGGTTAACATAAGATGTAGTTTGGTTGCTGAGAGTTTTGAATATTGAAAGTAAAATTTAATTTTTTTTAATTTATTTTATGTTAAATTTAATTCAATTCAGTTTATTTATAAAGCGCCAAGTCACAACAGAAGTCGTCTCAGGGCTCTGAACAGAAACGTTCATATACATAAAAAGTTCACATTATTTATCTGAGGAGCAGACTGCTTTGAGTTTAACTCCATCACAGAACTCTCATCTTGAGCGAGCACGAAGGCGACGGTGGAAAGAAAAACTCCCTCGTGAGGAAGAAACCTATAGCAGAACAAGTCCCAGGACAAGCTGCCGTCTGCTTCGACCGGCTGGGTTTGAGAGGAACAGATACACAATGGCAGGTGGAGAATCACGTTAAGCTAGAAATAGTATCAAAGGAAAACTATTAAATTTTAACAATTCATTGAAGTAAATGAGGTCAGTTTGTCCTCCAGTAGTCTAAACCTATAGCAGTATAACAAACCAACCCTCACTATAGGATTTATCAAAAACGCCCAGTCTTCAAACTGGACAAAGTGTCAGCCTCACGGACAGAAACTGGAACTGGGTTCCACAAGAGAGGAGCCTGATAACTGGAAAATCTTCCTCCCATTCTGCTTTTGGAAACTCTAGGGAGCACAAGTAAACCTGCAGTCTGAGAGCGAAGTGCTCTGTTAGGATATAGGGAACAATAAGATCTGTGATATAAGATGGAGCTAGGTTTTTGGGAGCTTTGTAAGTTAGCAGTGAAATTTTGAATTCATTGGGAGTCGATGGAGAGAAGCTAAAACTAAATTAATACAAATAAAGTAATGAACAGCTGCATATGGAATTATGGAGTTATTATAACTGGTTAACAGAGTTTGATATTGCATAGGATGTAAATAATAAGTCAGTTTAAACACGATCACTAATGATTCAGAGATCAGTGCTGAAGAGTGCCTGCACCTACTTTGTTGCCTCTGTGACTTTCTGAGTGTCTTCAATTGAACCGGTTTTCTTTTTGTTACAATGTCGTGCCACTCGGTTTCATTTCGGTGGCGTCTTCTCATGGTCTCTCTCCTCCTGATGTAACAGAATGAATTTACTGTTGTTCTCTCAGAAGAAATGAGACGCTCTTCCTCTGCCCCCTCCTTCTGTTTGCCCTGTAAGACTGAACTCTGCACAGAAGTGTGTCCACACTAGAGGATGGACTCGCTGCACCCTTTATCAGTCCCGCTATCAGCTGGAAAAAGCACTGTAGTTTGTGTGAAACTTTGAAAACCACATGCAACCGTTGTGTGCGATGATAAACCACAATGAACAATTTTGTTCCTGAACGTTGATATTGAGTAGGAAACTCAATTATTATTTTTGTCAAACTGGGTGACAGGCTTGTTGTTATGTTAATAGCCCTTTTATGAGCTTTTATTGACTGCAACAGATGGACATGCCAGCACTTCGTGCAACATGCATTTTTATCAAAGTATTATTATTTAGTTCTTCAGTCCCATTTTTTGCAGTGCATGTAGTCCTGCATACCTTAAACTAAAGTAACATTATAGTTTGTTTGTTTGTTTGGTTATTTTGAACATGTTTAACTACAGTATATACAGACAGCCGTTTTAAGCAAAGAGAAACAAAAAAAAACTACAGAAAATGAAAAAGTGCACAAGCATTGCCTTTTGTGTAGCTCGCATGTTAAAAAGGAATGGGAAGAAGTGCGTACTTATTTAATCCCACCCCTTCATAGTTGATAATTGTGAAGCTCATTCATATGATGCTTGCTATGATTTTTGGTGCTTGTATGGGTTTAGAAATATTAAGCTTCTAACTGCAGAGACACAATGGAGACGTTTCTGCAGCTTTGAAATGGTGAAACACTGCCCCCATGCGGCTGAAGCTTAAAGTGCAATAATAGATCAATTAGATCACAGTAAGATATATATATATATATATATATATATATATATATATATATATATAT